TAGGTCACTTGTACCTGATGCTCCAAAGTTACCATGGACTAAATAGCAACTAAGACGAGTGAAGAAGGGGGTCATGCATTTCTCCTTCCTATGGTCTTCTTAAACCTAGGAGCCTTCAGTTGTCTGTCTTCTGTGAGGAATTCCTCAGGTAGAGCTGGTCCTTATGTTTCCATAGCAGCTGTGTAAAATTCTAGAATAATAATCATAACCACATCCGTACTTGATTAAGGATTTCCGTCACATGTTCAGTGTAATTCTATCTTGTCTTTCATGTGTTTCTACAATGTCAAACAATAATGCGAATTATGGCTACCCTCTAACACAAAGCTTAGGAAACCGAGGTCTAGACAAATCAGAGCATTGTAGGGAACTGAGATTTGTGACTGAGATTTGGACAATGATTTTATCTATGCCAAAGCCCAGCTTCAGCTGTTGATCTCATGATTTTGTTCAGTCACAGTCTTTGAACTGTTCGTTTATTTCTGGCCTGTCCAAGTGTATCTCCAGCCACTAATCCTAGGGCCGGAATGTATAATCACTGCTTGATAATTCCATTGTTCATTGAAACTGAATATGCAAAGCTCAGTGACTCAGGCCTTTAATCCCAGTGCCTTGAGATCTGAGGATCACAGCAGGAACCCTGCAAGTTCAAGACCAGTCTGAGCTACATGGTTGCCTACGTCAGCACGGGCTACAGATTGATATCTATTCTCACAAAAGTAAAACACGAGGTAGGTACAGAGATGGTTCAGTGGTTAGGAGTACTCGCTGTTCCTGCAGGTTTGCTTTCTAGAACCCACAGGGCAGCTCACAACCTTCTGTAACCCCAGTTCTGGATGATCTGATGCCCTCTGCTGGCCTCCGTGTCCACCAACAGGCATGCACATGGTTCACAGACATACAAGCTAGCAAAACACCCATAGACTTTAAAAGAAACAAACCATTTTTAAGACATAAAAAGAAAATGAATAAATCAGTGAGTTTGGTGCACGAACCATTTATTCTAAGAAAGTTCAATCATTGCTATTTATGCACATTTGTTAATTCACTAATAAGTCCCCAGGCTGGGTCTTGTCCTTATGTCTTAGGACCTTGCTCAGCTTACTCATTAGTTTTTCACAACTCTGCATGGATCCTTGGCATCTTCAGCATTCACAGTCGTGTTCTCTGCGGTAAGCAGTGTATACCTCCATTTCCCGTGTCAGCACTTTATTACAAGCCTTCCGTTCTTTAGCATAATATAAATCTAATCTTAATAAACACTGGGAATTCATGACCTCTGTTTTAGAACATTTTAGAAGGACCTTCAATTAAATTTCTTCAAACAAAGTGGATTTTGCAGTAACTTATATAGCATGTAAGTCTCACATAGACTACTGCTGCCCCCCCCCTTTCTGCATGGCCACGGCTGTTCTCTGGTGTCTGCCATCCAGTATACAAGAAAGGAGAAAAAGAGGAGGCTGGGCAGGCAATGTCTTGTTAGGAAACAGATGGAAAGTGTGCAAATCATTCCTATTGGTATTTCATCAAAGTAAACACAGCCATGTGGTCACACCTACCTGAACGGGAAACTGGGATGTAATCTCTAGAGGTACAGCTAGAAAAGATGGATCTCCAAAACAAATTTGGAAACACTGAGCTAATGGTTAGGCTTTTGATCAAATATCCAGGAAACTACACATGCGTGTATGTATGTGCATGCATGCGCGTGCACACACACACACACACACACACACACACACACTCCTTTCTAGTATGTTGATGCCTTGAGCAGATTAGACAGAAGTAGTCCCAAGATGTGTACCTCTATTCCACCTGAGAGCAACGAGGTATTTCACCTCAAGGAAACACTGGTCACATGCAGAACGTGGCAGTGAAGAACAAGTCAGCATCTGTAGTCCCCCCTGGCATGCTTCACTTTTTCCTGGGCTGCTGCTAGAAGAAAGAGCATCAAAGTTGTGGAAAGGTGGAGGGAAGCCATGAGGCACAGACAGGCTGGCTGCAGGACAAGATGACAGCTAGCGGCAGGGGTGGAGACATAACAGTCAACAGAAGAGCAGCTTATGAGACAATCAGGCACAGAGAAGACACCCCGAGCATTCTCTGAAGGTGTCACTGTGCTACTTCATGCAAGTATCAAGTGTAGAAAGTGATGCTCAGGAGGGTTCTCATGCGGAAAGCAGCCCTTGGGAAAGGGACACATGCAGTGTCTGTCATGTATGTCCTCTCCATTGTTCTTGACTCCCGTCTTCCCCGCGTTCCACATCAAAAACCAATCTTGAGATAACTTGTATTCCAGTTAAGTGAGGTTGAAATGAACAGTAGCAAAATGCTAAATGCAAAATGAGAAATGAAGTCTCAAAGGGAAAGCTTATAAAGAAACAGGACATCGCTGTGTAAGAAAGATGTATAAGTGTGCCAAAGCTTGCAGAATATAACAAGAGTTGATGGATAAACATGTTTCCCTACTCCAAGGGTAAACTTAACCCAGAGAGCCTCATTATCCAATAAAATTAGCTGAATCAAAGGTAAATAGAGCTAGGTAAATATAATCTTGGCATTTAATAGTTTCTCACCTTTGACACATATGAAAAAGTATGGTGGTAATAACAATACATTAATGGATACATTTAAAGTTATAGCTTACACTGGTTATGCATATGTGTGTATATGTGTTTTCTTTGTCAGTTTGGGAAGCTTAGAACTTGAACTTAAGAACAAGTATATATTATTCAATTAATTTGAAAACATCATTTGCTGGGACTAGAGAGATAGCTCAATGGGTAAGAACATATGTTTATGCCATATAAACATAAGCTCAATGGGTAAAAAATGTTTGCCATATAAACATAAGAACTCAAGTTCAAATTGCCAGAGCCCACAAAAAAAGAAAAAGAAAAGAAGCTGGGTTGAACATCTTTGACCATCTATAAGCCTTTAGCCCCGGCTCTGTAAGTACCAGAAACCAGAAACAGAAGAATCTTTGGAGTTTGTTGGCCTACAGTCAAGCTCCAGGTTCAGTGAGAGACCTGTCTAAAGGGAATAAGGCAGGGGGACTGAGCAGAACACGTGATGTATTTCTCTAGCCTTCTTATGTGTGCACAGACACAAAGATCACACACCTCCAAAATGTGATTTATCACCACTACCAGATTCCTATAAAGAAGGATGATATACAGAGTCTAAAAGTCACAAATCAGAGCATAATCGAGATCTTAGTCTTGACTTCGGCAAGTCTAAGAAGCAAGATGTTTCAGTCTAATTTCATCCGACAAGAACTTTGATGTATAAAATATGAATTTATTAATGATTTAAAGCAGGAAGCCCCTTGGGTAGCTCATTTCCAGAGGAGAAATTTACCATAAATTCAGAACAAGGTGTTGAGTCTGAGGAACACGATCTATCCAGGACCGAGAAGGTTTCCGGAAATATTCCCCTGGTAGCGGCTTCATTTATTTGCATCAACTTTTGTCTGAAGAACTTTCTTTAGAACATGAGCAAAAAAATCACACAACACAGATCTCTCTCTTGACAGAAAGACTTGTAATCTCTGTATTCAAACTCCAAGTCTCCATGAGGAGGAAACACGGATCCTACACAGTTCAATTCCCCCTCTCAGTCATTTCTGCCGTGACTGATGCAGCCAGTCTATCTAAAGGGAATCACTGTGCACTGTGATGTGGGGCCAGTGGAAGAGCGCCAGGAGCTGAGCAGACAGCCTCCCTATTGTCTTCATATATTCACCTGAGAAATAGGCACATGTAAATATGAAGTATAAGTATGTACAGCGACTACATACTGAAGGGATGGGTTTACTCAAGGGTGGGATATAATAGAAAGAAGACGGAACTTGAATGCAAAGTCCTGGGTTCTGAGGATGGTCACACATTTCTCATTCATCTTTTATCTTCTTAGTTAGAAAATGTGGCACCTATTAAATATACAGTACATGGCAGAATTCAGATAAGAACAGTTTGCTTCGCCAAACATGTTTTGTACATGCCATCTTGGTGAAGCATTACACTGTACATTGGCAGTAGAACTAAGATATATTAAGGAAATCCATGTTTGTCGGTGTTAAAATACAGCACATCTATTGCCTATAATCCTAGATGTGACTTGAGTTGTTGGCATGCACAAGTTTTTGGAAGGTGTTGAGACATAGATGAGAACTTAGAAGAGATCTGAACAAGAACTTTTCATATGAAAGTGAGGTAAAACTCCCAGCTGAACAGGAAGGCTGGTGGTTTATATTTACTGTGGCAGGGAAACTACACTGGAAACATAAAAGACCTTTCCTAAAATGCTGCTGGTTTCAAATAAAAGGGCCATGGTAAATACCAATACAGTTTCCAGTTTATGTTTGTTTATCTATTTATTTATTTTTGAGCCAGAGTCCAACTGTGATGTTCAGGCTGGTCTCCAATGCCTTTGTTTGTGATTCTCTTTCTTCAGCCTCCCGAGACCTGGGACTACAGGCAGATGCCAGTGTGTCAGATTCTCAGTAGTGTTTTTAATGCAAGCTTTTTCATGGCACTGAAACCTGAAAATCCACATGGTGGGTATTTTACCTTAAGGTGAACTGACAGCATATTTTCTGTGCCCCATGAAAATAAGAATTCAAAAAGGAGGAAGAGGACGCTACATTATTGGAATAAGGTCATGATCTTTTCATCCCAGACTTACATTACAGATATATCCAAAGCACTTTTTCTGGATTTAACTGGCAAGAAAGGAAGAAATGGTACAAGCTTAGACATTTCAGAATTGCTGCTTTGCACTCTAGTCAAAGGCTTCCAAAGTGATTTACCATCTCGGAACAGTTTGTCCACTTCACTTAGAAATTAGAAATGTGTTTTGGCCAATAAATCTAACTTTATTTTGTAGTAGTCATTTTTCTTAATGGGAGTGTTTTCCAGATGTTGCCTAAGTCTAGTCGTCTGGGCCCCTGGCCAACAAATGAGGAAAGCTTGATTTCATAGGTTGTCACTGTTGATTTTGCTTAACCTTTGGACTAATTGGTTCATCCCAATCCATTTGCACTGGTATATAAGACTTCCAGCAACAGTGGAGAAATTCATCTTTCCTTTTTCAGGTAAGTGTCAAGGTTAACCTGCTTTTCGTAGCGTTAAGTATGCCTTCACTAAATGTGTTTGAAAGGGGATAGTAGTTAGAAAGTTTAGAAAAGAACCATAACGATGCGAGGTACTTGCTGGAAGCCTATGAATTTATATTGAATTAAGGGAAAGTTGGAAGATCTATTGCTCTTGTTAATCTCAATTTTATTGAAGCTGGTCATTTTATCTCCAGGACATGATTGAAGCCTTGCGCTGTAAGTACAGACTACTCCTCCAAGAGAGTTATAAAATCAGTCTATTTTTCTGCTATTATTCTGGGGTGTTATAGTGGTTGGTAATTTAATTGAATTGTCTTGTTCTGTATCATATTAACCATGATGATCAACTACTTTCTTAGGAATTCAAGCTAATTTCTCAGAAGTTCTGTTTTAAGGATGGAGTGGCTTATGATTGACTTATATTTGGAAAGTTTCTGGATGTTGTGCACGCTGCACACACTATGCAGTAGTGAGATTAAAGAGCAGGCTTCTGACGCTTTTATTTTTATTTCAGGCAAGGGTGTCGCATCCGAGAACTGCCATGGGGTGGAAAATACTTCCCATCTGCTTGTCGCTGCTGCTCCCTGCCTTCTTGATTCAACAAGTTTCATCTCAAGGTAACTTCCCCATCACAAAATGTTTCTGTCTAGCCATTGATGCTAAGCCCCCAGTGCGGCTTTAGGACAACAACAAGAGAATATATTCAGAAACATATATATTTGCTGGAGTCGAACAATTTGCAACCCTAAAGCGGAAACACACGCAGCACATTTGTGTGTTTTGGAATTCTCACCTCTTCCTCTGGCACTGTGAGAGCTTTGAAGGAGTTCTGAATTTTGATAGAAAAGTGTCCTTATTCTGTTTATTCAGTTTTCCTCCAAAATTAAAAAAATCACAGACATTTATGTAGCAAAACTATGCCAGAGTTACACAACACCATCAAAAAAAAATGAAAAATACAACATTCAAATAACATTTGCTGGTATGTTGACAGAATTAACCAAACTTTTACATCAGATGAATCATTATAAATAACTTACTTTATCATCATGTCACCATAGATAGCATATTATAAAGTACATTTATAGTGTTTCAAATGGAATTTTATGAGTCTTAAATATTCTCTTCCTTGCAGGGGCAATCCACCCCATCATGGGTTTGTACAGAGCTGAGCGCTATTTCTTATAACATTGTTCAGTCCTTCAGAGTCTGTCCTAGGCGAATAGTATGTTATTCCTATAGAGGCCCTTGGTGTACACTCAGCATATCCACGGTAGGGATTGAAGCTGTTTAGCCATAACAATATGTAACTTCAGCTTTTCCCTTCCACATATACAGCATGAGAGAAGAAAATCAATATCCATCATTATTACAGTGAAGTTTTATTTTTAAAATAGACATTTCTAGTGAAATATCCAACATTTTTATTGACCCTGAACATGAGAGATGACTGCTTGCTTGCTTAGGCATGTTTTCAGAATCACCCAGCTAAGACAAGGGGGACAAACCCCAAAATCAAACCTAAATGCTGAGTGAGGAGTGATGGTCACACTCCCTGTCTCAGGCCCTTCAGTTTCCTCATTTGGTATTAAGACTCAACACTGGGTGCCTCCTAAGCCACCCCTTTTCTTTCTGAAACAATGCTAATCTATCGAAAGCTCTTTTTAAATAAATACACTTCTAAGTATAATTATAATCAGTGGAACGGGGAGATGATGGCTTGGCGGCAAACTGTCTGATGCACAACATGAGAACTGGACGTCAGATCCTCAGCACCTGCGTGAAAAGCTCGGCACAGAAGTACGCGCCTGTAACCCTAGCTCTGGGAGCCAAGACAGGCTGACTCTGGAACTCACTAGCCAAGCAGACTCACCCCAGTGGCAAGCTCCAGGGTCAATGAGAGAATCCTAGCCAAGAAAATAAGCAGAAAGTGATGGAGAAAATCTGGTATCAACCTCTGGCCTCCACATGTGCACACACACATGCATGTACCACACACACAACACACACTCTAGTGGTTTAAATAAATAGCACTGAACATGAGGCTGTAATAGACTATCTATGAAAAATAAGTGGATTTATTCTAGAAATCTAAGTGTAAAAGAATAATCTTTTGATGTTGTTTTGTCTGCTTTTCTTGCCTTCTCAACCTCTTCTCATTCTTTTCCCTTTATATATAATATATGTATTTATATACATACACTATATATGCGTTTTTGTATTGTGCACATATGTATGTAAGCAACCACTCTACAAGTTACCCTATCTTTATTGTTTCTTATATATGTATTAAGACTTAACTTTCCTGGATTCTCTTGAGGTTTTTTTTTTTTTTCAGTGTATTTCGATATCCCCCTACAGATTAGGCCATTCCAGAAGTGGATTCCTTTGTTACAGTCATGCTGTTATCTCCTGGGGAGGATTTCACAGTGTTATCTCTCAAATGGTGTTTAGAAATATTTGAGGCTAATTATTCCATCCCACCACAAACACTCAGTTCATGACCTTTATATCCACACCCAGATCTTATTTCATTCTCGCTTATTCCTATTGACAGAGAGCACTCGGAAGAGTCTGCGCTTGCCTAGCCAGCCTGTTCTAGGTTCACCATTGAGAGTGAGAGGCAGTGCATTTAGTGGAGAAAGCTCATGCTTCAAATTCAGATATATGAGTTTGAGCTTGAAATGGACTATCTGTTTAGGATGATCATATAATTGATTATCCCAAATCAGCGTATTTATAAAAGTAATGGGGTTATGCAAATATGGGATATATATATATTAGTATGTACATTATATATACATACATATATATTTACACATATACATACAGTAACTAGCTGTGTGTCATTGGACAAGTTATTAAAATTTGCCTTTTTTGTTTTTTGTTTTTTGAGAAAGGATTTCTCTGTGTAGCCCTGGCTGTCCTAGGACTCTCACTGTAGACCAGGCTGGCCTGGAACTCACAGAGATTTCCCTGCCTCTGTCTCCCAAGTGCTGGGATTAAAAGCATGTGCACCACTACCACCAATGTTAGTCACCCGTTTTATCTTAGATAGGGCTATTTTCTTGGAAACATTTTTCTAAGAGAATGTATGGCTCAGTATCTGCCATAGAGCTGCTCAAAAAACAGTCACCAGTAATCACAATAGAAGCAACCTGCAGCTGTAACGGCCACCTTTTCCCGAAGATTATTACTCCTCATGGAAGCATGACTTAGCTTTCATGGTGCACTTATCACCCCAATCTCGTGAAGAATAAAATGGCATGCCTTAGGGCACACAAAGGCTCACCCCGGTATCAGCTAGGCCCATTGCTGTGCACTATTCCCAGCATTGACCAGTGGGTAAGGCTCTCCCTCTTGGATGACTTTGTCCTCCTGAGTAGACCTCCCCTTTTCTAAGTGGTTTGGCCATGTTTACCCTAGTATTGTATACTTTTAGACTTGCCAAGCTGTGCAGGGAGATGTGGGGAAGGGTATTCTAGAGATGCCACCTGCAACTGTGATTTTAACTGCCAACACTACATGGAGTGCTGCCCTGATTTCAAGAGAGTCTGCACTACAGGTACGTTCTGAGAGCTGGGCGTCCTGTCAAGCCCGTTGTTCGCTCCTTTCCCGGCTTTGGCACCCTCCGCAGCTCTGTTCCTCCTCCCTCCACCTCCTCTGTCTCCTCTGTTCAAGTGCCTTTTCCCTCACTTGCATAAACGTTTAAGCGCACCTAAGGATGGTTCCAAAGCTTCTGGTTTCTGGGGTTGGTCATGGACAGAAGCCTGGGCACTTGTTACTTGCTCATATGTATCAAGTGCTTGCATGTAAAATGTCTTAATTGGGCTTAATAATGTGACTTGGTAGGCATGGAGTGAAAAGGAAGGCATGCTTCTTCGCCAACAGTTGACTTTTGACGGCTTAGAGATGGAGGCTTTCAGATAGTCTCAGGAAAGGGTCAGTAGGCATAGAATACTTATATATGCTATTTGAACTTTGGGTATTAAATGTATTTTTAAAGAGGATACTTTAAAGATCAAACAAATAGCAGGGTTAACTGATGAATTTCAAAGCCCAAAAGTTATGAATTATGAGCGGTATTTCAACTGAACACCAGTTGGGCCATTTCTTATAATAGATGCAGACAAATTTAATATTCAATTTATGAAAACTATAATTAAAATCTATGAAAGTTATCTGTGCATTAATTAGAATTTGCAAGTGGAGGTGGTAACGATAGTGTTGTAATTCTGAGCGTTGGGTAAAGTATTCAAGCAGGCCTTGATTAAATCATCGTACCTTCCACGGAGTTTTCTCTGGAACAGCAGGCCATGTGGCCCAGTCTACACCGTGGCATTAACTGAAACCTTTCAGTCTTATTCTCTGCCCAGTTTGTCTTCTCAAGAGTGTCTGCATTGTAAGTGATTTGGGGCCTGAACAGCGAGCGGCCTGCTCAGCTAGTTTCCTGGGCTATATTGTTATAAGATGGAGAGAGTCAATGACTACAAATCTATTACAAAGACTTGTAGGTGTGAGGAGAGGATGAAGGACCTCCTATGAAGGGCAGTCTGCTAGTTCCTAGTTTTCTATTGTGTCTTCACACATACAGGACTCAGGCAGCATCACGATGTCTCCTGCTAGTTTACAAGGGAAAGAACGATGCCTCAACTCATCAGATTTCTTCCCTGACTTAGGCTCTCTCTATTTGGACATCATCCTTTTAAATTTAACTTTCAAGACTAGATGATGTGCATACTCCGAAATAAGAGACATCGAAGTGCACCCTTGGGGCTCTGGTCAGTTGTCGGAAGAGAAATGTTACAAGATGCGTCAGTGTGGCTTTGTGACTAACAATCCATGTTGCCTGTTTTGCTCTGGGCAGAGCTCTCCTGCAAAGGCCGCTGCTTCGAGTCCTTCCAGCGAGGGAGGGAGTGTGACTGCGACTCCCAGTGTAAAGAGTTTGGCAAGTGCTGTGACGACTATGAGAGTTTCTGTGAAGAAGGTAAGGACCATGGCACCAGCCAGTGCTGCGCAGGATAGTCACCCCGGGACACACCAGCCAGTGCTGTGCAGGATAGCCAGCCCGGGACATGCTTTGGCTTCAGTGATGTCTTGATTTTACTAACGTTTAAGTTGCTTCCTAATAGTTTGATTTCACAAAGGCAAAGAAAAGCACCTTCCACCAGGAGCCTCGCAATGACCTCTAGTTCACTAGCAAGGGGGATGTGGGCTAAGTGGACAGGCTTTCATCTCCGAAGGTGTGTCTTTCACACTATATCTTGTCCCCACCTAAAGGAATTGCCTGCACAGAATCAGCTATCCTTAGAGCTTTTTGTGCTCTGAGCCTAAATGTACTGGGTATGTTTTTAAAGGCAGAACGTTTCCAGCTTCTTGTATAAATTAACTCGTCGCCAAATCTACAGGAAAATCAGATAAAAAGTTGGTACCTCAATTAATTATTTGTGCCTGCCCAGCCCTACAGTCCTCTCAGCAGTCTTTACACAAAGCCGGAGCAGGACAAATTCAATAAAAAGGGACGGTCTCACTTAAAAATCTTCTCCGGCCATTACACCTGAAGGAATCCTCTCACAGAATAACAACAGCCCATCCTTATGTCTCTTACAAGATAATAGAATACTTTCTTCTCCAATATTTGTTCTTAACCATTCTTTGTCAAAATGTGAATTAAGAGTGGAGGTAAAATTGAGATAAACATTGCTTGCATAATTGGATCGTGTTTTTCTTTGGCTGTGCCTCTTCTATGTTTAGAATGGCGGAAACTCAATCAGAGTTGAGGGCTGCTTCTTAACTGTTCAATATTTTTACAGAAGTATTCTAAAAACACTGGAGACAACACCCTAATTTCAAAACCCCAGAGGTCAGCAATCCCGCAGCTTTCGGAAGGCACCGGGACGGGGATATGTGTATCTATCTACTCACCACTTTGATAACTATTTAGACTAAGAGACAAGCCAAAACCAAACAAAGAAAACAAGCCAACACCCTACCTCCCCAATACAGCAGTTGTTTTGGCCGAGGATGGGTAGGGAGAAGACTGAGTGAAGACACGGACAGGCCGTTTTAACTGCACATAGGACTCTGTGCTTCTGAAGTAGATCTGAGGTTAGGCAGGAAGAGGAGAGAACGGAGGCAATGCAAAGCAGCTCCACTCACAGATTTCAGGAAGGCAGTCAGGCTCCCAGCTGAAAGCGAAAGGCCCACCCAGAGCTTCAGAAGCTCCCTAAAGCAGGATGGAAACGGCGAGGTTGCTTCAGGGTTGCCATAGACACGGGGTATTGGGGTCTACCTAAAAACTGCAACATTTTGGGAACTGACAGGAGTCATATCAGCCCAGTTGCCTCCCACCGTGGGTAGAGAAGCCGGAAAGGTTGTTATCTGTTTTGGCCACGCTCACTAACTAGTACCCGCCAGAACTATTACTCAACTTGGCATCTTATGGGGGGAGGAGAAAGAGGGCGAGGTACAGTGCCCGGTTCCTGGAAACCAGAAGAGGAGCTCTGAGGAAATGGTGGGAATAGCGGGTGGATGGAACGTCTGTCTTCCCCGCCTCCATGGCTGTTTCTTCTCTCTATCTCTCTCCTTCCTTCTGATCCCCAGTCCCCCCTTTTAGATGCTAAGGCATGGGAGGAGGGAATAAAAGGCAAAAAAGACACACACTAAACCATTAGTGTGTGTTAGCTTGGGAAGGGCAAATCATTTGTGGAAAAGTGTAACATGGAGGTGTGAAATCTTCAAAATATACCTGTACAACTTTTATAATAAAACTCAGGGCAAACTCGCACTGTTTGACTTAAATGCATAAGAAAACAGGAAAAATATACTAGAGTTGACTAGGGCATGATTTTCCCCATTATCCATATGCAGTATTATTTCTGTAATTGTGGGATGATGGCAAGATAGGTGAAACTCATAGAATGACAACTTGTTTTAGGTGATCATTTCTCTCCTCAGCAATGCTGCTTACACATTTCACTTTACGGAAAATATTCCATAGTTTGGCCTATATTCCAAGGTCGAAAAGGTAGACACCCGGAGAAGCATATGACTAGCATGTAGAACGTTGACTCCCGAGACTGCTTCCTAGCATAATTTCCCAGTTTGAGAATCCTATGTTATAGTAATGTGTCCTCAGAATTACTGGAGTTCTTTGTGCTGGGCTACAGCTGTCCTGTCCTGACATTTAGCAGCGTCTCCATTTGAAGCCACATGCATCCAATGCTTTTCAGTTAGCACTGCTGAGGAGTCTAAACTGATGTTAACCACCAACCTGTCTTGCTTGGCTCAGTGCATAATCCCACAACACCACCTCCAAAGACTGCACCTCCGCCTCCAGGAGCACCTCACATCATCAAATCAACCACCAAACGCTCACCCAAATCACCAAAAAAGAAGACTAAGAAAGTTGTAGAATCAGAGGAAATAACAGAAGGTAGGAAGATGACAGACATTACTACAGGACATTTCTGAACTGAAATACCTGTAGGTGGACTATTCATATGAATAGCCTCAGAGGGTAATCTTTTGAGCCATGGAGGGCTCATGGCTTTTTTATCTACTTGATTTATGCTAAAATTTCAGCTAAAATATAAACCCTTGGATATTTTTAGCCCTTATTTACCAAACCTGGCATGGGTCGTCTTCATCAGAAGAGGCAAATCTCACTGTAAAAAATGAAAACATTTTTTCTCTATATTTTTTATAGAATTAGATTGCATAACTTTTAGTAGGTGTGGGAAAATAAGGAGAAAGTTATATTGTTAGTATATGTGATCAACTCAGGTACCTTGCTTTTGATTACAGTTTTACAAAGTGAGTTAGTTGCATTACCCATAAAATGACAGCAGACTACAACTCTCGAAGGCCAGTTATCAGCATTTCTTGTTGTGTATGTACCGGCAGCTCTTTTTGCTTTGTTCTAAATCACAGTTGGTGTGATCAAATTTTTTATTTGATTTATAGAACATTCTGTTTCTGAAAATCAAGAGTCCTCCTCCTCCTCTTCTTCTTCCTCTTCAACTATTCGGAAAATCAAGTCTTCCAAAAATTCAGCTAATAGAGAATTACAGAAGAACCCAAAAGGTTTGAGCATTGATAAAGATCAAAGACTCTATCAATGCCATGCTAAACAATTATTTTTAAAAAGTAATGTGTGTTGATAGAATGGTTTGAGATCTCACTATCTGGGGAGTGTGTTAACTATGGAAACACTCAGTTTAGAAAGTACGAAATGAAGATACCTTACAGAGACTTAGTGGAATGCAGTTAAGTCACCCTGTACAGCCAGGAATCCGAAGACGCTGGAGTAGTGACTGGATGCAGAGTCTGGTAGTAGCGACAACAGTTTGTCAGTCTGTTAGAATTCCTGTCTAGCTGATCACCGTATTTTTTTTTTCCATTCTACCTCCAGCTTTTGTTTTCTCTTCTATGGTTTTCTTTAACAAAAACTCAGTGTTTCCCCAACATTAGTCCTTGATATTCTCCTAAACCTCCAGGGAAAGGCAAGATTATCATTCCTGTTATATAGATCTTTATTATTTTTCTAACTTTTAAAAAGTCGTGAGTCTCACTTCTCTCTGCAAGTTAAAGAATAGGCTATTATTTCCTGGGAACGGATTCCACCTGATCTGTTCTTTGTATTTCCTGAAATTCTAAAATATATTCTTTCTCTTATAGTAAGTACTGGAATTTTGAGGAACATCTCCCTGGGTGTTCACAGTTTCTTATAACCTTCCTTATACCCTAATAGCCAGATAGTCTCACTTCAATTCCTTCAAAGAATCCTGCTCACAATGGAAGTACAATACAAGTTTGCCAAACAGAGTTTGTATCAGTGAAATGCTTTTTGCTTAGCTCCCCTAAGGGGCAGCTGCTGTGGTGAATCTTAAGTACAGTCTATTGCCCTGGCAACCTACTTGTCTACGTCTTCTGGGACTATCAAGTTCAGGTGTGCAGTTGAAAAGAATCAGTCAATAGCCCTATGCATGGCAACTAGGTTCATCAGAAACCTTTGGGAAGAGTGGAACCAAATCCTCAGTCAGTTGTAGAGGCCTTTGTAGGCATTAGTGCAAAGGAGCTACAAGAGTTCGCACTCAAGTTTCCAGGAAGAAGGGACAACATTGAACAATATGGAATGGGAGTTGGTGGCATGGTGGACCAAGTGAAGTAAAGCAATTAACACAGACATGGACTTATGCCACTGATCACTTTGCTGGCTGCAAGCTGCTACTGTTTTCCATGTATTTATATTAGGGCTTCATTTGTGGTTTCATGTGTTTGCCACATTTACTCAGTAAGTCTCCAAAGACAGAACATTTACCATACATTAACAGACGCATTAAAGGTTAGCAATTTGCCTACTGACACATACCTGGTCAGTGATCTTTATGTTACTATTAGAGAGAGAAAAAGTGTTCAAAATAACTTTTATTTTCTTCTCTAGAGAAAGATAACAAGAAACCCCCCGCTAAAAAGGAACCTAATCCAGAACCACCAGTCGTAGATGAAGCTGGAAGTGGACAGGATAATGGTGAACCCAAGCTCACCCCAGCTCCTGACAAACCTACCACTCCGCCTCCCAAGACTACTACAGCAGCAAAACCTGCAAGTGCCAAACCCAGTCTTGCTCCTAATTCTGAGACATCCAAAGAGGCATCTTCAGCTTCCAACACAGAGACAGTAGTGGAAACGAAGGAGACTACTGCAACAAATAAACAGACTTCCGCCAGTAAAAAAGAGAAAACTACTTCAGCGAAAGAGATACGGAGTGCAGAGGATAAAGATGCTGCACCCACATCTCCTACACCTACCACCTCCGAGAACTCAGCTCCCACAACCACCAAGAAGCCAGTACCCACTACTACAAAGGAACCAGCTCCCACTACCACCAAGAAGCCTGTAACTACAACCAAGGAACCTACTCCTACCACTCCCCAGAAGCCTGAACCCACCCCCAAGGAACTGGCTCCCACGACCCCTAAGGAGCCTGAACCCACGACCCCCAAGGAACCGGCTCCCACCACCCCTAAGGAGCCTGAACCCACCACCCCCAAGGAACCAGCACCCAC